TCACCTAACACAAAGCACATCTACCTACGCCCGGCCGAAATTATGCCACACATCACCAACTACTACGTAGTATATATATTATTTTACCAACTGAACGCAGCCTCAATCCAAGCTATATTTTGTACATACATATAATAGCGATGTAAGCCATGTACTAGATTTGGGGGGCGGACAGGGGTTTTTATTGTGACGTATTAATTTGGTGCTTTGAAATACATTATTAACAGAATATTTGAGTTTATATGAATAGTAGTTGCGCAGCCCTAACTTGATCACTAAGCCCTTCATCGGCGACTCGAATCCGATTGTTCCCGTAATAAAAAATATTCTACGTAACGATACTACCGGTACCCCGACAAACAAGTGAAGTCTACGCGTAGCTCACTGTAAGGTGGGGGAAATAGGTAGTTACTTGTATATTGATTAATGCTTCGAAAAACTTCGACGTATAAGGAACATTTGTAGTTGTCAAAGTATATTTTTGTGTTCGTGTATGTCACTGCCACAAACAGTAACTGTAAGTCTAGCGAATTAAAAGCACTTCAAATAAAACAAGAGCATCCATCCGACAACGCTGTGAAGCTGGAGACACAAACAACATTAACTGACATTGCTCATTGACATTGTCAAATCGATTCGAAATTGGAGCCACCAGCAGTACTTACTCGAATTACTACCTGCGATAGTACAGCTTACATTGAATATAAGTTCTGTTTAACAATACTAGTAGGATAAAAACTTGTGGCCATTTGACTTTTTACTGGTGGTCACCGAAAGTGTCAATGTGTTGGTGTTTTGCTCGTGGTTAAACGCTGGAACTTAACGAGAATTGCTTGGGCATACGGTATCTAGGCTCATGAGTATCGACGCGTAGGCATTCGAACTGTATGGTATGACCAGCACTACAGCTCACAAAGTAAAACTCTAACACGATTACCTTCGCAAAGATATAGGGCCCACGGCATGTTTGCTTGTTTTACGTTAGCTATGATGGAGTGATATTCCACTTACTGGGCTGCTTGACTATGAAGCAACAATCCAGTAATGCCCACTAAGTAAAACTCCACCACACCATTTAACCATTTAACCACGAGTGATGCCCCATGTTTAACTCTACCTGAACACATGAGCATAACCCCAAAACACCACTAACTAGTTAGTGAAAAACTGCCTCCCCTACAGTACGTAGCATTCACCTTTATTGGACCCTTTACGAATGCAATACGAATCCCTTTATAATCCGATTTTGTGTTATATTGGTTTTAGACGGGCTATCCATTTCACTCTCGGCAAACCAGCCACACGCACGAACGCCCTGGACAAGTCCGTTGTACAGCACGCCATCTACAAGGTGCAACGTCACTTTAGTCATTCAATCGTGCAATAAGCGAGCTATGTATACTGTAGTCGATCCATACAAGACACAACTCAAGGTACACAAGTGACCAAGCGTCAATGATTAAGACATGACGTTCCCCGTCAAGATGGCAGTCACGACCGCGACCGGACTTTTCCAAGGCACGGCGGCGGCAACCGTGGCCGAGAACGGACCATTCACGGACGTGGTGGCAGCTGCCATTCCCGTGACCGGGCCATTTGCGTGCACAATGGCAGCTGTTCGTGACCGGACCATTGTGGAGGTTAGCTGAGTCAAAAGGCAATGGTAAACACACGTATAAACCTTTATTACGGAGCTGTGATGATTTGCTTCTTTATTAAATCGTACACGGTGTGGTAGGATATGTCGTCGACTCGCCGCTTTGTAGGGGAAACTCCAGTGGCTGCTGAAATTGCTGTCCAGATGCTTCTCATTCCTGTCAGGTACACCTCGCTTCGCTGGGCCACCGTCATGTTGATTTCAAATTGCAGAGTTGTCGTTGTGATGTTCAAAATCAAATCAATCACTCCTGTGGCTTTGGAAAAGTTGACCCTGTCGCTGTTTCTGGGGAAATCTTTTCGCCTCAAGGTGCGAAATGGAGGAGTATTGTGGGCTTCGCTTCCACTCCACCACAGAGTCCACAAATCGAACGTTTTGGTGCTGGGGCATACCAAATTGTTTGTCCTTTGGACTTGAACGGGTTGGTTGGGTCGTTCATCATGTCGAAGTTCGGGAGTGATCGCTCGACCAGGGGTGTACTTGAAGATGCCGACCTCAAATCCGCCAACAGTTGATGCCGAAGGAGCTCAAACGAATCGTGCATCATCCCAATTGTTACTGGGGTTGAGTCACTTGTAGGGGCCCGGCCGCTGATCGCCATCGCCACACTTTCGGGAATATTGTCGATTTTGTCAAACATGTTATTTTCAAACGTTTTAAACCCAGTTTCCAATTGGTCCAGACGGTTAACCAGGGTTACGTGTGGTGGCACACCAGTCGCAAACATCCCAGTAGCACGATTGGCCACGACGCCACCATGAACTCGTTTGGACAGGCCAATAAAAAAACCAGAGCGCCAAATTGGGGACAGAAAGAGAGGGTGGTCAGGACTCAATGCCATTTTCAACCAGCTGTGGTGGAATGCCAGTGACGCCAATAGGTATGGCACCACACATCGGAAGCATGCTGGATAATCCGTGGCGTACCCAGGCACTACCGTCTCCCATTCACCAAGTGACAAAGCAGGTGCTCCAAAAAATGCGGGGGCAACGACGCAAATGTGCTTGATGTCAATGGCAAGCCTATAATTCATGAAAAAATCGAAGTCATAATTTATAATCTAATGGCAAGCCTATAATTCATGAAAAAATCGAAGTCATAATTTATAATCCAAAGTTTGAATAATTTGTCCTTTACCTGTCGCAGCACGTCCAACAAATTGGTCGCCACCAGAGCCTTCAAAAATGTACCGCCCTTGCACACTTCCAAGGCTCCATCCCGCACGAAGCCAAATCGAGACTGCCTGTGGCCCACCCGGTGAGTTGGACAGTGCTGTCGCAACATCTTTTCGGAACGAATGGGTGCCAATCTCGGAAATTGTCATCCCCATTGCCAGTATTTCTGCTTCGTTCACAGAACAGACTTTAAGCAGCCACCTCGAAAATCGGGTTTGGGCCGTTGCTCCAAAGACCAATTTCGTTCGCTGGCCAGACGTTAAACCTCTCGTAAACACAATCATCGCAAGGCTAAATTCAGAGGTTGCACATTTAATATCACGTAAATCTAAATTAAATCATGGAACAGACCTCAGAATTGGGCATACTGCCGGACTGGTGGGATTTGCGTAAACATGCTTGGGAAACAGAGCAGCGCCTTCTTGGTCACTTTTTGTCCGGCCGAATTTGATCAACATTGCATCCCCTAATTTTAATCGGTTTACATCTGAATTTACACTAATATAAACCTACCCTGCCACGTGAAGTTGTCGAAACAAATTGACACTGTTGAAACTGAACGCGCCATCAAATTCCAACAAAACACGAGAAACGTATGAGCGTTGATTGCCAGATTGTAGTCCGTTGTCGACGACAACACAACGTTTGCCAAATAGGAGTAACCTAAAATATAATATCGAAAATAATTATTAACGTGACGGATCTGTGATTTGCCGATTTTGAGCTCCATTCAATCGACCATATCTGGCGAATTTCAAATTATCTCGAGCTGAAAGTTGCAGTGCTGAACTCGCCTTTTTGAGCTTTTTCTCATCGTTCGAATATAAATCAAGTGTAAGAGTTTGAATCAGGGCAAATAAAATGATAAAGTTAGGCGCTCAAACAGGCGATCGGTGATTTGCCGAAATTTAACCTTGTATTCAGTATAGGAATTTTAAGGCTTCGATGATACAAAATTATTGATTTATAGAGAAATATTACATGTATGC